TTGGATATCTATGCTAATAAGGAACGTGATGTCAGACGTTCATTTGTCATGTCGTGTAATCGAGTTGTGTTTGCTACAGAATCATTGCGGATTTTAGTGCTCAATAACATTGAAATATCACATTCTTATACTATTAAAATAAATTCCTTTTGATTAACGATGCACGATCGATAAAAATATTAGTTCATGATTCGGAAAATGTTTTGATATTATATGATATTTTATATATTAAATATTTCATTTATAAGATATGTACACATGTTTATTGATATCAAATTCATTGTTTTAAACTGGTCGTTGTTATTTTTCTATACTTTTAAATTGCATTGTATGGTTATAATCATTGTTCAAATCACATAATTATTTAAATAAGACAACAAGCTTTAGGAAAAAAGTGGTTGTGTAATAATCTTAAAACCTTTTAAATTGTAACGAATTAAGCAGACGACGAGACCTGTACACCTCTCTTTCATATTGAATATCTTTCCTGTAGAATGCACACTGCCTTAATACGTACCATGTGCACGACAGATGTGCCGAAGTTCTTACACTCGGCTGAATTAAGCTTCACTCTTTTTACTTTCGCAATATGCGTCTAATGGACCAATTATATTCGTTATTAACAGGGCTCATTATAAAAAAATATTTAAAGACCCATTTAGACTGGCAGTATTTCTTCGATTTTTTTAAGTGTTTTTTTTTTCATTCGCTCACTTCGACTTAACGGACTTGCCAAGCTCTTAATGAATATTTAAAAAAATAATGTAAATCTCTTGAGAACCTAAAGGTTTATGTGTTAAGGTCAACTGGTAGCGGTTAAAGTTAAAGTACAAATGACAGCGAACAACAAAGGCAAAATGTTTTAGTCGATTTTTGAATATAAACTAATAGAGATTGAATATTATACATATTTCTAAAAACTAATACAAGAAATAATATCAAAATCAACTACAATGTTATTTAATAGAGGTTGTAATCTAACTGATCGTTAATACTTTCATTTAGTAGATCATAAAATACAAGTATATACAATCCTTTAGTAATACAATCCTTTAAAAGTGATATAGCATATTGCTGACCCAGTCCCAATGAATCGCTCGGACCATGATATCAAAGTTGAATGCTGTAAGATAGTTTACTTTATAAAAATATTCGAATAAAAATTCTTTATATAGACTTCTTCAGACCATGCCCAATATATAGAATGAATGAGAAGCATTCATGACGATTCCAATTTTCTTACATCTAAAATAAAACATGGTATTTATGATTAATTTTTGGAGCTGAAATTTTGTTAGGTCTCTGCAGTTATGATGAAACTTTAATGTAATTGTTTTGTACATAAGTTGTTGAAAACTTTTCGTCACTGTGGGTTCAAAATCTGCGTTTACTGGATACGGGTTATCCAGACAATAACTAACGGAGCTAAGGGGCCGATATCTTTATTAGGTTAGATAGTCTTTATTGCATTTCTAGCAATGCTTAGCAAAACATGCATTTTAGCTATGTATGTTTCACGATATGTGATCACGATTATAACGTCTGGCGTAAAACAAAATAAACGCGGTAATTTACGTTAAACTATTTTTTTTTAAATGTGAGGTATTCTTATAAATACAAAGAAATCAAGTCTTACCTTATAATCGACTGGTCGATTTTCCGTGGAAAGCTTTGTTATTTCCTTACCGAGGCCACGTGTTTACGAGTAGTTGTCATCTTCGTAAAAACATCGCATGTTCCTTCTGAGATCATCGCGATCCTTTTTGCGTGTTAATTCGATTGAGCGTAGCACTGAGGCAATTATCGGTGTTTACTGAGCATACGAGATGTGAAGATTTAAATATTAACGTGAAGGAATGCGATTGAATTTATTGTTAACGTGTAAAATATGTCGTAAACGTATATTTCAAGCAGTGTCTGCATTTAAATTACTCTTTATGTTTAATATACATCTATACATAGAAATCTAGTACTCATACTACGGTACGTTTAAATGTAGAAAAACTATTGATAAATGGTTTTTGTTACGTAAAAATCCTAGCTACAGCATGTGCGTATCTAAATAGCTTGTGTAGAAATCAAAGTACCTATAATATAGAGTTTGGAAATATTACGATACATCTAAAGCAAATATCGAGGCACAAAGAAGAAAAAGCTTCGTAATATAAATATACCGATATATGTACTTTGCAATATTTAGGATGATTTTTAGACGAAGTACATACTTTGACATAATGTTAATTGAGCATTCCGTAATACAAAAAAAAATTCTATTTTATTTTGACAAGAAATAACCAGAAAAATAACAATTCAAATATTGTTTGTTCACCCTGTATTTGTTGTTTTTGTAAGTTTCATCTAACGTTTAAAATTATTTTTTTATTATTAAATTTTTGGCATACCAAGCTTAGACCGTTTTGAGAAGCGTCATATAAATTATATAAACTCTAAATCCCTCACCTCAAGAAACCTTGACCTTATTACTAAGGAAATAATCTAGTTACGTACATATACCATTACTATGCGTAGAACGTGTAAGTCTCTAACACGTTCTTTTCTATTATGTACTAAATGAATTTTAATAGCGGTTCTCTTCTAATCGTTTACATCGCTGTATACATATAATTACAATAATATGGAAATTTCTAATCAAACACATTTTTAACGTATTTAAACAAGGTTACATGTCTTTTTTGTTTGCGTATCATTATTTCTCTTTTATTTGCTGTTTACACAGACGCTAACGATGTTTTCGTAATGTTACGAAACGACCGTGAAATGGAAATATAGTTCTGGTCGCTGTTATTACGGCCTCAATAAGTAAGGCGAACTCGCAGGTCGTTGATACGGGGCGAGGCGCATGGTCGGTGCATTAGCGGGAAAAAGACACCAACACAAACATTCTGTTTGTCTCGCTCTACAGGTTCGAATCGTTCCCAAAGTGTGTCGACTGTCGGCCCTTGTAAATTTGAAAATCGTAAAACGCACGTGTATTTAATAAGATTGTTTCTTTACGACGTGTTAAATATTGCTACAAGATTGAGCACTATCATTTATTGGAGGCTGTATGCACGTGTTTCGTAAGAGCCCAGAGCTCTACAAAGTTTGAGCAGCACTGCGTCGTTTGCAGGGCTGACAAAGGTCTCCGATCTCCCCTTCGTCTGAACTCCACAATAGCTGGTTCGGCGCCTGCATTCGCCTATCACAAACAATTTATGACTTAGCTAGCATAATGCAATGATTTAATATTGTTTAAACAAAACTTTTTCTGGCAGAAACGTTAAACATTACCATCGGGTGTTGCCTTTATTCTTTTCCTATATAAAATTAAGCTTTTTTTATACTGTGAGTACATCTTCAAAAACAAACGCTAATTTTTGTATGAATGGTATTTGCTTCTTAGGTATTTATATTAGTAATTTACAAAATTATTAAATTTCCTAATTACAAGCACTAGTTTTAAAGCCTCTCAATTTAATATGTCAAATAATTGTATGTAGCAATGTCGAGTCCTAGTATGCACATAAGGACTAATTGGACAAATATACGTTATTGAAACTTATACGTTACCTATACCACATTCACTTTAAATCAAATTACAAACCTTGGGAACGCGTTGCGTAGTGGAACCGATTCCGACATATTCAAACAACTCCGGTGCTAATAAACGTAAGTGTAGTTAACGTGAGAGGAGATCTGACTCAGCGACGAGTTCGCGCGCTACGATCTACGTTAGTTTACCCACAGACTTGGTTTGCTACATTTCTCATCACCATGTAACCTCTATTATTACACGTAAAATCTCTACACTGTAATGTATAAATAACTCTTAATATGGAGTAAGAAATATAACCATATCAAAAATTAGTTACCGCTTCCTAATGATCGCATTCAATTGAGAATCAATTGAGAATAAATTAATATTACGAATTGTTATAGTTTTTTTAAAAAAAAAATAAAATATACTTCATTGTATATTTTTTACGGAACTTTCTTGGGTTCCTTCTTTTTAATCACCAGCATTGACATTTATAGTATAAAGACATAATAAGAACAATTTTGCACGCCATTTTATTGATTACACTTGAGGTACGTGTCGCGTTTTGAATTAGAAAGTTGATATGCAATGCAGCGTTACTGCTTTGGCGCCTGTTAAAATTCTGACACTGCAATGATAGAGACTTAGGAATAGTCAACTTGCGTTCAAAAGCAGCTGCCGAGTATTAAGATATGGTATCTGAATTTATATTAATACCACGGCAACGTGTTTTTCGAGTGGCTCTATGTGAGTCATATGGGATTAATTGAACCGCTCACGTACGATGAGACTAGTTTCTTTTTATATTAAACGAGTCAAGTACTGAATAATAACCTTATCGCAGAGGTAAAGTAAGAAAATAAGCCAGATATTACTTCAAGATAAACCTTTGGACCCAATCGATAGCTTCTTGTGACACCTTATACTGTATAGTTAAAAACATACCTGCAAAAGTATATTGTTGATTTCAACGTAGTTTCAGGTTAGCAGACAATTTCATTATTGATTGAAGCATCTTTTAGTGTACGTTGCTTCGAAAACTGTATCTTATCTATAGGCGACGTTTGTACCAAAGTTTTAGTAACTGTTATAATATATGTAGATTAATCGAAACTTTAATTACGCCGATAGAAAGCAATAAATATATATAAATATTTATTGCTTTCATCTTTTTGGTATTATTAAAAACATATGAATATGCATTATAACTTCCAGCTGTTGAAGCATCTGCTCTGTTTTCTATTACGTTTTTCTCGTCTATGGGAGAAGTGTATCTAGTAAGTGCCGTTATGTCGTAAAATACAAGGTGTAACTGTTCGTATATTTAGTAACGTTGTGCTTAATACAGGTCAATAAATTTAAAAGACAAAAGCAAACGCTAATGTTAAGTGCTAACCAGTTGGTAAGAACATGTCGGAACGTTCTTAGTGTATATGTTTAAAATGTTAATAATTTAATAACAATGGCGGTCACGACATCACCATCTTATCATGGATCGCCGATTCATGACGGATTTGCCACAATCCGTGCGCCAAGAAGCCGTATAAAAATAAGAAATCTCGTCGAACCAAATAATGCTACCAATCTACCTCAGAGGCATTCCGAGTATTTCACTCTGCAAAGGAATTCCACGAATAAGTTTTTGGACAGCAGCGTGGTAGTGCAATACACGAACGATGAATCAGTGAGTAACAGCAATGACACAGACAAGCCATTGCGACTTAGCTTTACAGAACCTATTTATGCCAAAGTAACTCCACCACATTCCAAAAGTAACTCTCCAGTGAAACGTTTGAACGGCAAACAATACTTCCACTACGACTCCATAGATACGAAACCACGGCGACGCTTAAAAAGCTTAGAGTTCACTTCGGGAACGGATCAGGTGGATGAGAAAAAGGGTACGGCACTCTTAAGTAACGGAGAACGCCAGCTGCCCGAACAGCATGTAGCGAATCAGGACAACTCTGAGCAGCATTCCGTGCGCACGGATACTACGGGATCATCCGTTGACTACAGAAAGAGACATACAGACCGTGATAATTGTTCAGAATCGTCGTCATACCTCACCGACAACGATAGGCCTATTTCCAGCTACAGCGACAATTCCACAATACCGTCCACAGACACGGAAGACGTGTTAAGAGATCTACCGAACAAGTCTAGATTCCACAAGTCGCCGCAGAAATTTGCCACATTAAATACGCGAAGGCCAAAATTTATCGACCTCAAACCACCAAGCCTCAAAGAGAACCAATTCTACGGAAGTCTACAAAGGAATAAAATGGGCTATCATTCTGAACCGAACACGCCTCTTTCGGGAGAACGGATTGACTTGGGCGATGAATCAAGTTTACTTGATCAAGTCCAACAAATACCGCGAATGCCTTTGCAAAATAATAGAAATGGTTTTAGAAGGTCGATCAGCGAGAACAATGGTTTTTCTAAGAGACTTAATTACAGGCATTCTTTTAGTGCCGACTATAGGCCACAACCTGTTATAAAAAGACCCCATAAGTGTTGTGAATGCATTACTGGAATACCCGCTGAGGAAGAGGACAAAAAAACGACAAGAACATTGGGAACACTGCATGAAGCTCAAGACCCTAAAGTGGGTTGCCAAACAATATTAAGATCGAAACCACCAATACCATGGTGGGAACTGGCTATTAAAAAGTCCCGATATAAAAGCTGCCCAATTCTTGAAGAGGTAAGCCACAATTTTCTTATCGCTAAGAATACTGCCAACTTTTCCGTCATTTCTATGTAGTGCTACAGCACGAATTTCTATCTTTTTGTGCCTGTGATTAAATTACATGTCCCACCATTAACTTTCAATAATGACTTCCGCCAACAAAAAGCATAATTGTGGCTGTCGACACGATGACTAACAGGTGAATACGACGACGGAAAAAAGAGTGACTCCCTTTAGGCAGTATCTTTCCTTTCTATAGTTTCTACATTAACTTAAGTAATTTAATTACAAAACTGAGAATAATTTTATGACTTTAGAAATTTTTAAAACTGGCCAAATATTACTGCTGTAAATCAGTTTTGTGACATTTATTGAAGGTTTATTGAAAATTATTAAAAAAAAACGTTGAAGTGTAGTTTTTTAAACGCTTTTGCTTATAGGTGCGGCTTGCTACCACTCTGTAATTATAGAGGGCGAGGGCGAATATGAACTGAAACTTTGTGGGGAAGAGTTCTTAAATATTTATTATATTCTATATTTAAAAGCTATTCCCCACAAATCCTATTCAAATCCTGCCCTGCAATTGAATAGGATTTTCAATTAAATCTGTAATAAATAGAATGTTCCCCTGTCTGGATGCACATGCAGTGTCATATGACTTAAAAAAATTGAAAATAAAAAAAAAAATAAGGTTTGAAGTTTTCAGGAATTACATTTTTCACCTTAATTCATTACAATGAATATACCTTTACTATTTAGTTACCAATTCAGAATCGCTTGTCTCTTTTGCTCTCCTGTTGGATTTAACTTAATAAATATTACAGTCATAACTTTATTTCAAACCTTATGATTGATAAAATTGACCATAGATTCATTATCAAGAAAAAAACATTAATTACTAATATTATTTCAAATATAAATTAATTGTCTTCAAACATTATGTAATGCATCACTTCAAAAAATTCCACAACATGTTGGAAGTTTACTTAAACAATAATTCTTTCCTTATTACATGAAAATAATATTCATTTATATAATAATCATTGCATTGAAAGTAATGTCTAAGAAGTAAATATTTAGTAGTTTTAGATAAAAAATATTTAGATAGGCTTCATGTAGTAAACATACATTGAATTATAATGGACGTACAAATATTATTAGAAAGTAATAACAAAGCAAGTCATTATTAAGCCTATAGAATGATCGAAAAGACATTATGTTGATTCGAATGCTTTTTTTACATTCGCTTTCTAATTCGTATGTACGTTCGTATGTATTTCGTTTATGGTAACAGGTGCCTTATGTAACCTGAAGTCAAATCTCGTCCGTTGCGACGACACGTTGATAATACGAACAAAAAATAAGGTCTGTGGCCTGTTCGATAAAAAAGGTCTACCTGACTACCGAAAAAGGTGTTATACATTATTATTGGTCAGATGTGAACTTAATCTGGTTTCCAGAGCGTTGAATGATTTCACTGATATTTTTTGTATTCGTTTCCCACGGTGTAATATATATTACGTTTTAATGATTTATGTTCCTCCTCATTTTAAAACTTCGTCGTTTTGCTATGAACGCCAATTGTAAACAAGTATAATTTTGAACGACCTAATTTTTTGACGACCGAATGGCGTAGTCGGTGGTGTAACTGCCTTATGCTCCAGAGGGTGTGGGTTCGATCCCCACTACTGGAAAAATATTGTGTGATGAGCATAGTGTTTTTCTAGTGTCTGGGTGTTTATAGTATAATGTGTATTTATTTACAAAAAAAAAGTATGTTTAAGTATGTCTATCAGTTTTCTAGTGACCATAGTACAAGCGTTGCTTAGTTTGGGACTAGAGAACGTTGTGTAAAAAGAATGTGTCCTAAAAAATATTTAAAAATATTAAATATTATTTAACAAAAAAAAAAACGACTTTAATCAGAAAATTAAAAAACATTGTTAATACCTATAACGTTCAATGATGCACTAGATTTCTCTAGGATGCCATCATCAGATCTGAGTTTCCTTATCATGGTACCACCTTGGGGATACCTCCTTTCCGACAAAAAAGGAATCATCAAAATCGGTTCATAAACGACGAAGTTATCCACGAACCCACATAAAAAAATAAAAATATATACGGTCGAATTGAGAAACCTCCTCCTTCTTGAAGTCGGTTAAAAAAAAGTCCAGATATGCTGTCTCTGTTGGCTTGCTAGTGAATATAAACATCGTAAGGAAATTTGCTCAGAAAAAAAAATATTTTGAATATATTTGAAGTAAGTCAGACAATCCGTACGTATAGGAACCGCATGGCGGCGTACTATATTTTATCCTAATAATCTCTGTGCATGCCTAGTTAGCATTCCTCTGTTACTGGACTAACTAAACTAAACATTATAATATAATCATTATTAATTTTAGTTAAAAGTATCACAATAAATAATATGTATTATGATACTTTTAACTAAAATTAATAATTATCTATAACACAAATCAGCTTAACGCTATAACTGGCCTAAAATATCGCGTTATAACCATAAACCTGTAAATTAGTATTTTTATTTTTGACATGCACAATATATCAAATCCTTTATGGATTTCATATCGGTTACTATCCAAAATTTAAAATAGTGATTCTGACCGCCTCGATTTGGATCAAATTCTCCGTTGACGTAAGCGCTATATTGTCAATCTCGCGTGGGCGATTAGACCTTTAAAACAAGCATTCATACTCCAAAGGGACATCTGATCTTGCGCAAGCAGCGCCCCAAGCATTCCATGCTTGCCATTGTCTGTAGAATGCCAGTAAGGACTGTATCTATCGGACCGTGTTTCTGTCACTTTGATAGAAAAATTCAATGGTCCTTCATACAAGTAACCTTTTACCACGTATTATACCAATAGTAGAATTTATTATTTAACTCCATTAACGTTGAAATTGTCTCCTTCTTTTATAGTATTATAAAAGTAGGTGTTTACAAAACAAACTTTAAAAACGATTTTAATGCACTGAATAAAAATTTATGGGCTACATATTTTCATGGTAAACATTTAAAATTCAATACGATGTGAAACACTTATTACTCATTGATTGTTAATAGTAAACCATGGATGCCATCGTTTGTGTTCTACAGTCCAGAGCCCTTCGAGAATAGAGCTCACCGTTCAGTTACTGTCTGAATTAGCTCATGCGGAGTATTCTGTCTCAAATACTGTCCACGAGGGCCGGACAAACCACGACACACTTTCCTTATATAGCCGCATCCGCCTGGAACGTATTTTCTCCCAGGGCTCGTTTTATGCGGATAATATTTCATTGGCCTTTGCGCTACTGTTACAATTTGCATCAGGGCTTTCATCTTTAATTACTGTGTTCCCGAGTAACTGTTTGTGTCTTGCTTTAACGCCATTTGAGTGATTTAAGCAATAACAAAAATGAAAAAAAAATGCAATAACAAAAACTTTAACTTTGAGTCCCGACGTTTCGATTTTTGTTTCGTGTACAGAGTCCATGGTTTATAAATGTAATAAAATCGGAAAAACTGTTTTATTTAATAATGTGTATTATTCATGTAAATACCTCAAAATTAATTTACGGTATGGTATTAAATTTTAAGCTTTAAGTTATATTTCTACTTAACATAGATTTAATAAAGGATTGAATGTATTAAAATTACTTTGACATAGATTTTAATAAAGGATTGAATGGGTTAAAGAGTTACCGAAATATTTAAGAACTTAAAACGTTATTCATCATAGTTGAGTTATAACTTTAACTCGGAGAAATGTTTCTAGATTAAAATCGATAACTTTGAATATTGTTTTATCTCTATGAAATAAACAACTACAACTAGGTCACCGAGCATTGCTTGGAGCAATATACATACCTTTCATTTTCTCAGCGTGTCTTATTGTGTTAATTCAGCAAAATATATATCATTATCTAGTTGGAAATATATTTTTATTCTTTTCTTGTTTGTTTCCCTTACATTAACCAACCGATTTCTCTATACTTTTAACTGTTTTGTTAAATTTTCTAAATTAACCCCTAATTTATACTACAATTAACAAACGGTTATTAAGCTTGTTTATTTATTTATGTTTATTTATGTACTGACTGTTAACCGCGGCTTCGCCCGCGCTGCCGCCGTATTTTTCCTACTTAGTTGACACTTATCATCACCTATATTGTGGACAATTCACACAATATCTTTATAAATGACCTATGAGTTATTCTGATGTATTATCTATACTATTATAAAGTTTCATTAAAATATTTTCAGTCGTTTTTGCGTGTAAAAGTAACAAAAATCCATCCATACATACAAACTTTCGCGTTTATTATATTAGTAAGGATAGTATTAGTAAGGATGAGTTTATTTATTTAATAATAAGTATTATGCTCTCAATTTTAAACTGGATTATATTTGTTTCCTTTTACTAACAAAAATTCATCCCTCTTTAAGAAAGAACATTCTAATTAATTAAGGTGCCCTTGCTCATAGCACAAAATTGAAATGGCTATCTACTAAGGTATAACATGCGTTGCGTGCCCCTCATAATAACTACCCGAGGGCATTGGACTCGTACTAAACGTATACCGACGCGAGGTACTCAAAGATTGTACTTGCTCACACTATACGATGCTTTATCAGTCGGGCTAACGAACATGCAAATGATCGGAACGGTCATCGCTATCGTGAAATTTTTCTAATAAGGCCGGTTTTTGTAATAATATCAATTACATTCTAAAAGCTGCTAGAACAGCTGTTGATTAACTATTACAATTAACGTACACCTGCCCGCTATGTTGTTTTCAGATGCTCTCCTAACTCTGTTCGAATGGCGTGTACTAACATAGCTCTAACTTTTTTAGTTTGTTTGTTATAGGATAACAAAAAAGTTGCGAATGTTACGCGCTCATGTTTTCATTTTCGTAGTTACGCACGTGTCTACAGGCTGTGTATTCACCAATTATGTGCGCAGGGCCGCAAGGTACGGTAGTACATTTTACGAGTAAAGAAGTACAATTATTAACATGCGAGCAGGTGGATGGTTAAGGAGAAAAACTTTGTTAAACTACCTCCCCGTCCAAATCGTCTGCAAAGTCGTAATTAAGACTATTGGTTTGTTTTTTGCTAACGGAAGATGAATTCTACTGTGTGTATTTTTAACGAGTTCCTTATAGCGAGTGAGTTAATTTGAAAATAAACGGCAATTGTCGAAATACCTTCGCAGCGTCCGACACCTGTTCGTATAATTAAATGTTGGATCTTCACCAAAGACACGGTTCTGGATTTTAATCCACTGAGAGTAACGTATCCGTGTGTGCAGTACACATAACTTTAACGTTTTTATCGCAACGACGAAATACCTCCGACCAATAAAGCGATCTGATTAAAACGATGATCATAAACTCGTTTTCCGTAAATGATACGAAGTAAATAAAAAAAAAAGTTTATACAACGAACGGTTAAATAAAACGCACGTTTGAAATGGGGCAACGTATATTTAAATGATTCGGTAACAGTGGGGTGGTGTGGTAAATACTTTTTGGTGTTGAACAAATTCAAGGGGGCATGTTTGCTCTTTAATAAAATAGCCATAGCGCCGACGGTCGATACTCCCTTTAATTTTGCTGAGTGCGTTTCTGGGACGCCGCAAACAAAGGGCCTGTGTCCAGCACCGCGCACCCACTTCTAATATCGCCGGTCCGAAGCAATTTATTCCGATGAGTCACTTTAACGCTCCATAAATATTTATGTATTCATCGTATTTCAGAAACAATGATATTGATGAGGCGTCGTGTGTCAACTATACAGTATGATTTTTACCGCTGTTACCTTCTTCAAGTGTCGTGTTACTTCGACTGTTTATTGACATGTTTTTAATCCGAAACTGACCGTTATAGTGAAGCTGAATACATAAACTAAATAGTTAAGAAGAGCGGAACGATGTTGGTACTGGCTAGGATTTTAACCAAGATATCAGACTCAAATTCTCTGTATTTGTGTAAGTAATTAAGTGCGCTATATAAATATTCTTGATTTGATGGATACAGATTTTTTGTGACCCAATAAAGCCATGACAACTCAATGTCCAGGCGCTCACTTTTGATTCAATATACTTACACGAGGAACCTGAGTTCAAATCCCGGTGCTGGCGCAAATAAAATTGTTAATTCTGACTTGGAAGCAAATTTAAGTGCTGACTATCACTTGCTCAAAGGTAAAGAAAAAAATGTGAGGACACCTTCATATTTTTGTAATAAGATCAAACAATAACAAGTCGAAAATATGTCTAGTTTGTTAAATACGCCGTCAAACCCACTGTACAGTGGAGGCCTTTGCTCAGCAGTGGCACATATATAGGCTGTTTATAATGAGTAATCAAATGTTAATAATTAATACAATACAATAACGGATATTGTCTTTTAACTCTCTGATACAGCCTTAGGCGGTCATTGAGGCGTCTTCCATCTGTCGGTTGGCAAATGAAGCGTGTAAGAGCGTAGCGGCCTAGATTTGTTTACGTCGGCATAGGTACTATAAAATTTGACGTCAATAATTATTCTGTCATCACAGCTACGGGACCAGTCCGTCATTCGTGTACGAGAGGGTAATTTAAATCATTACCGAAGCTGTGGAATCGACCTGGTTACAAAACATAACCGGGCTACAAAGGCATGTCAGCTACTTCACAGCAATTTGCGGTCATCTCTCGTTTCGACTCGTTACGAACTTGATACACGTCTCTTTAGACTAGGGCTCGTGTGTGCTTCTTAATTTTTTTTTTACTTAAACACCGACCTTTATTTGGCTCATCGAGCATGTAGTAGCCTATTTATATCAATAAAATCGTTCTTAAGTATTAGAATAATAGTAGTAAGTTTTTCCCCATTCCTATATTCGTCCGATTAAATATATAATAGCCGTAGCTTAAGTAATCTAACGCAGCTATCGAAAATATGCAAAATTGACTATGGCTTATTAAAAAGAAACATTTATGAACCTACCACAAATTGTTCTCTCCACAACGAGTGTTATAAATCCGGATTAACTATTATGGCTTATTGCTATTGTAATTGATCAAATTATGAGTAAATTACTATAAATAATAAGTAAATTTAATTAAAACTTTTGATTACTTTCGCTAAGCGAAAATATAACGCTGTTCATTTTTAGATCACTAGGGTAACCCGAGTTATAATTCTCCTCTTCCTCCTTCTTTCTATTATCCTCTTCTTTCCATGTATTTATATTCTTATATATATATATTTATATATGTATAGTATATGTTTATTCTTATTTTATCTTTAACCAAGTGAATTATTCTAACGTTTATAAACCGTAATATTTGCATTACGATGCTAAACATTCTCACATTGATCATCAGTCTATAGTTAAAATAGTAAAAACTCATTACAAAAATTTTATTGTAAATAAAGCCTTACTACTTGGGTTATCACATGATATAGTAAATTAATAATCAAAGTTATCCTTCAAAATAGATTTAGTTTTGATGTACTGTAATTAACCATAATGAATTCTGTTATCTTGTAATTTATCGCCCTTAGACTTTCCAGCTAGACCTGTTACGTCTTCCTAATACTTTTGAGGTAAAGAGATTCGTTCATTTGATTCTTTTTCAAGGTATTTCATTTGTGTTGTGAGATTTTTTTCGAAAAAATTGTTTCGAAATTCGAGCACCTTGAAATGCCGAAGCATCGCAACTAGTTTATGTGCCTAATAATGCCTCATAATATGTAATTTATATCTCAGACCTGCAGAATTAACTAGAGCTTCAAATACATTTTCGTAGTATTAAAGAGTGTTAATATAGAAAGAGTGAGAATAAAGAATTAAAAGCTACCAATTGATCATTTAAATACTATATTATGATTGAAATGCGCATAGTTTTTGTGTTTCGCTTTACACAAAATGGAAGATGACTATAATTAAACTCAATAAAAATAATGAAACTCACTTTTAAAACACTAGTTATTATTTGGAAAGTAAAACCAATAAGAATTAAACATTTCAATAAATGTGTAGAGAAAATCACAAAACTAATCGTTTCATGCTTTAAATTTATCATTAACATTGGTGTCTAATTGTAGCCTGAGGACTGCGATCGAATTTTCATTGTACTCCTATAAGATTTTATATTAGATAACACCGAAGATGTTGAAATGATTTTATCACAGCATTAGTAAAAATGTGTTTGCGTGCGAGACGCATGAATATTTAGTTATTCGAATAAACGTGGAGAAATTGAAAGAAAAAGTTGGAAGAAAAGGTCGTTTAAATAAGGTTTATTATTTTAACCGACACACCTACAAGATTTTACACTCATTCGCATTTGCCGTACAGATAAAACGTTGTTACTTTTTCTCGTAAAACAACTGGTTCATGACTTAAAAAGTGAATCTGAATTATTTTAAGAATTTTTGATATTATTTTTGTTTTATTAATTTTTGTTATTTAGTTTTGATGTGACGCGGGTAGCGTTAATCTTAGATGGTATCTTGCTTTCGCGCGATGTATATTCTAATTTAGATCACATGCAATCTGCAGTTGCATCCTAAGTCGTTATGAATTACTGACATATATTACAATAGCGGTGCCTAATGATTCACAGTCAATACTCACTTAGGTTTGAACACACTTCTTTAAGTGCCTCGAACTTGGTGCTAAAACACATTCTCAATTTGCATTCGTTAGCAAGGCCTTGGAGGGGTACACTTTCTAAATCATTATACCTAATTCTAAGATGAAAATTGTTAAGGATATTGTTTTAGTGTGATTTTGATCGAATTTAGCAACGTTATATTTTTTACTTTAATTGAATGTTAATTTTATTTTTATTAACAATTTCACATTGATAATAATTAAATAGATAATAAGTTCGCTGTATTATAAGATTTGAATAAGATAAGTTATTGTCACGTTTCATTTAAAAAGAAAATTTCATTTTAGTCTCGTATTGTTCTCAGAATTTTGCAACGTCTATTTATTATTCATTGTGTACGGGCCGTGATGACAAAAATAAAACTAGAGACCTCGCTGCGTAGAGACGTTATATGAAAAGCTGATTTTAATACGATTTGATATTGCGAGGAATTATGAAATACCCTTGATGGTTTTATTTCGTGACATACCATAATTCAATACAACATGTATTTTAACGATCGTAATACAGTCTTATAATTGAAGCCGAAGTTCAACCAGTGTTTTGCAGGAGTACTTTTTCGTTTTATAAAAAATAGTGTCTAATACGAATTCGGGTTTTTTTCAGGGCGAAATCAATGATACGGACTACTACTACCAATACTATTCATGAAATTAAATTAGAAAGAATCCTATCAACATTACGTCATAACGACGCCATTAAACCAAATCCAAAACTTATTTTTATCTGGATAAGTTGACAAGCGAGTAAGTGATTACCACCGCCGCCTTTGGACATCTGTGAAACCAGAGTAATTGTATATGCGTTGCCAAGTTTACAAAAGCACCAGATATCTCACTCTCTAGACGAAACAGGAAAGTGCTATATTTCCACTTCATGCTGATCTCCTGTGAGGCCGTGGTACTTTCCCGGACAAACCTGCCCTTTCATGCAACAGTAGAAGCTGCTGCGTGGCCCTACCGCGGATAAAACCACTTATAATTTTTATAATAACTACAATATTAACTATTACTAATAAGATTTTCGTCTAAGTTAGAGATTAACTCATTCTTTTGGTAAGTTTTTGTTAATATGTCAAAATGTTGTGTTTGAACGGAATTTTCTTTTGCAGGCACACGTGGTGTCCGCCTTCGAACAGAGCCTTTCGAATATGACGCAGCGTCTGCAGCAACTTACCGCCACGGCCGAGAGAAAGGTAAGTTATCGATACCATTGTAATGAGCGCCCGCGACACAGCGGCCAGGGCACCTGCATAATGACAGCGCATCTCAAGTTCGACGTCCAATCCAGACCGATTATACACAAGTCGTCTATTTTTATTGAACCATGTTACGGAGTTTTTAAAATATTCCTATTTCAGTAAGAACATTCTTAAAACATATTAAAGTTATGTCTGTTTACCAAAAGTGAGACTTTATATTGTCTGTAAAGGTTACAAAATTACCGAGCTAAAAGACCGTTATACAAGGAGAAATTTTATTGTCTTATTAAATTTGATGAAATTTTATTTGAACCGGAAGTAAACAAATAATTTAAATTTCATTAACTCTATAATTAATGCTCGTATATTTATCATGTACATTTAAAATTGAAATAACAAAGATGTGACACCCTGAGTGGAGAGTTGGTGATGAAACTGTTGATAGGGCTTAAAATAATTGACGTTTCGCTGAGTCTGTTAGTGCGCGGAGAAACGATTGGGAAAGTCTACAATGTATTTCCTACTGAAAGTAGCTGGTTATAACACTGGCAAAAACATCCATTCTGGACGTATACGAGCACGTTTCTTAACAAGGCTTGGTGAAAGAGTAAGCAGCTAGTGAGTAACTAATCCGGCTCTACTTAGTTTCACATTCGCGAATTTATTTACTTTTTATTTTAATCCATTCGACTGTCAGCGGATGTGGCTTACTTTGAGCTGGTTTTATATGTAGGTACAAGAACATACTGATCTTTTGTAATCATTTCATGAAACAACTTTTGGTCCGTAAGTAGTCCTAAATTATTATTTTTAAATAACATTGACTGATTCATTTCTTGACTGAGCTGAACTTTAATTATACATTTCTGTAATTATTAGGTGTGTTTGTTTAAAAATCAACTAAAATTTATAACGAAATGATCTATAGTTACTAGGAAACTAATTTCGCTACTTTTTCGCATCGTTAAATATTACTGCGCAGTTATATTACTCATACTTGAAGGCCATTTTCCCTGATTCCTAGTTGTAACTGTTTATGCCAGGACTCGGAGCTAACGGAACTTCGTCAGACGATCGAGTTACTCCGAAAGCAGTCAATCCAGGCCGGGCTGACAACGGCGCATATGCAGTCAATGGGAATACGGGCCGATGGCGTCAATGTTACGGGACAGGTAAAATAAATGTAACTTCAATTACGTAGCACGTCCTTACTAATATTATAAAGGCGAAAGTTTGTATGTATCGATGGATGTTTGTTACTCTTTCATGCAAATACTACTGAATGGATTTTTATGAAACTTTACAATAAGATAGCTTATACATCAGAATAAGACACAGGCTATAATTTATATACGTATTTGATGTATATCTGTCTTTCTGTCTGCCTGAATGTTACGCCTTTAGCCTATTCTACGCAGACGAAGTCGCGGGCAGCAGCTAGTGTTATTATAATTATTGATTAAGGTAACTGATACATTTCTTTTATTTAGGGTCGTCATGTATATTTAAAATTAGCGGCAATCTTGAGGATACCCGCGCGACTATTTTTATATAATATGCGTTTGTTGTTTCTTTATTTTTACCAAAGTTGGTTTTAAATGTCACATTTTATTGTATAACATACGACTGTGCTACTAAATTAGAAAAACGAAATTGAAATGTAATCTACGTAACTTACTAACAATTAAAATGATATGTCACTGCTTTCGCGGGCTTAATGGCACGCCGTCTACAGATAACACTAAAATGCATTCGCGTTAAATTGGCCATCAATAGATTTGTTCTTGTTCTACATTTGAAATGTTGAAACGCGAGTGACAATTCATCTTGTTATTGATGCCCTATATTTATGTCAATCTGAATCTGTCGTACTCGGTGAATTACATGTGGTTAAAGTAGACACTTTATACATTATATTACTCGAAACATTGTGTTAGTACGCAATGTCTTTGTATCAGCTTTATCTATTAAGAACAATTGATTTTATTAAATAAACTATATAAAAGTTGTGATTAAATATGATAAGATACAATTTTCATAAAATTCGGAACTACCACAGAAATTTCGACGTAGTATAATTAATAGTTCAACGAGTACGTAGAAAGAGAGAACGTAGTGTAGAAGTAGAAAAGGTGGCCACGCATCTGCAACCCTAAGCAAATTTCAATGGGCGGCGGTAATTACTTAAGATCAATCTTCAGCTCATATGCCACCTTCTCACAATCTAATATGAAGAAAGAATATTATGAAATGAAAACATTAGACAAGTTAAGGTTGGTCGAAAAGACCATAGACTAATCTAAGTCGAGCTAATATATTAATCAATATTTGTTTATGTGTTACATATAACGTGTTCTAGGAACCCCCGACCACACAAGCTCAACAGTCATCGCCGCAGCGTAATGCTCAAACCGGAAATGGAGCGATTACACGCCACCTGTCTACCGACAGTGTGTCCAGTATTAATAGCCTTAGCAGCGGATCATCTATGCCACACGATAAAAAGCATAAGAAGAAAGGATGGGTATGTATTACACACACAATGATTTTTTTTAAACATTGTTCTTAAACATTGTCATTGTTTTACAAACATAAATTTCACGCGGACAGACACCCAGATGCGAAACAACTATGTGTGGGTCACACAAGTAGTTCTCCCGTGTGGGGATCGAACCCACGATCCCCGACGCCGAAGCCAATACCTTGGCAACTGCGCCACGGAGTCATCTAATCATAATTGCCTTTTAAATATGAACATCATTGACAAGCTCAAATTAGTGCTTACTTCATTCTCTAATCTGTAATAAACACTACCAGAAAATTAGGAGCTCTAAAGGCAATTGTCATAAGTAGATGTAGGAAATTTTAAAAGATTCACTTGATTTTTAAATTTGATCTTTAGTACATAACAATCTTTAGTGATATCTATTAAGTTCAACTGAATGAGATATAACGTTCACGTCATTAAGTCCGCCTTTGTACATAGGTATATGTATATAAAATAAGTTGTTATTATTATTCCATTAAGAAATCGCATCTACTAATGCGTTCGTTTTTTGAAATATTGACGCACTTGAATGTTTTCACGAGTTTTTGACACATAATACATTAGGTATATTTACTTTGAAGTTAATTATGACAATAACTTATGCAGAAAATCAATAATGTAATTTAAATTATCACTAATACTGCGCGAAAATGTTGAAGCACGCTTTTTATATTATAACCATTATTTATTTATACAATAAAATCTGTATAAATTCAAATAAATCATGGGTTCTGTATCTGTACATTTAGTTGATATGTTTGAATATTTACTTAGCCATACGGCAACGAATCGGCCATACAAATCATGAAGCCCACCATTAATATCCGAATAAAATAATTTCTAATTATATTAATTAATTAAAATCTCCAATTATATTACAATGCACCTGTATCTAATATACTTCTGCTTTTTTTAATTATAAATTAAGATGATGACAACTATTAGCTACAGGTAAACCAACGCCAAATTTTATGTAACTGTTTTGTCGTCTTTCCTTTGCCTTAATTAACAGCCACTTAAATTTTTTAAATCATGATCGTCACTTTTTTTTATTTCATTTTAAATGTGTAAAATAGATGAATAAGCTCCAACTATTATCTAATTTTAATGTTTTGTGTTCCAGCTGCGATCATCATTTACAAAGGCGTTTTCAAGGAACGCGAAGATATCTAAAACGGCCAAGCACTCATCTCTCGGGCAGCTGTCGTCTCAAGACAGTTCCTCGGGATCCCACCATTACGACGACCCTCACATAATCCGCGAGGGGAGCAACGAGAACAGCCTGGAACATTCCCATGAAGTACTACCCGACACGAAGGACAAGGCAATATGTCCTAATTCTAAGACTGATGAACAAGCCAAAGGTGAATGTCAAATCCATTCTATTCAAACCCTTAATGAAACCGTTAGATTAGCTTGTTATAAATGAATAGTTTTTAATTAACTCTGGTAGGGCCACGCAACAGTGTTCGCTGATGCACGAATGGGCAGGTCCGTCCGAGTAAGTACCACGATCTCACAGAAGACCGGCGTGAAGTGGAGGTGTTATGCTTCTGCGTTTCGTCTGGCGATTGAGGAAGTCGGGGCCCATTTCATTGAAAGGTAGCAGCCCTGCGGGTGTTACAAATGTCCATGGACAGTGGTTATCACTTAAGATCAGGTGAACCGCCAGCTCGTTTGCAACTTTCTCATATTAAAAAAAGTTTTTCTGAGCTTTACGGCCTCACAGAAGACTGGCTTGAAGCGTAAGTGTCATTCTTCTGCGTTTCGTCTGGTAAGTGAGGTCCCACCGTGAGCCGGGGCCCACTTCTTTAAAAGACAACGCAATCTGCAACCCTACGGGTGTTACATGTTGGACGAACCTATAGTTCTTTTTTAATCCATTTAACTACTTATGTGTACATAATAGAAGAAGAAACACGCGAGACGTAAGTTAATGTTGTCATTTAAAAAAACGTGTTCCTATTGTTAACATATAGCATATAAATATTATTGAGTAAACAAAATTAATAAGTAAAGAAAACGCGGCAATGCGTAGAGTTTGCCAGTTAGCGAATTGTTTACACGCTCACTTTATACAATAAAGAAAGGCTTTGGTGAAATTTAGATGAGTGAAAGCTGCACTTAGTAGTTCTTTCATTGAATATAGGAATGACAAACAAAACAATTTTGTCGCAATAGTTTAGTACTGTTATTATATCTTTATTATTGAATATCGCGATTATTCTATAGGTTTCAAGGAAACAATCCTCCTCATTTATCCAAATAATTTTCTAAAAAATATAATAACAGTAAGTATATGTAATAACTTAATGTTTGCATATGTAAAACCTTAATGTATAACCTTAAATATTGTTATTCTCAGATAAACCAGATGACTCCGGATTAGTAGACGAATTAAAGAGACAGTTGAGGGAAAAGGATTTGGTGCTGACTGACATCAGACTCGAAGCATTGAGTTCAGCCCATCAACTAGAAAGCCTTAAAGATACTGTTATTAAAATGAGGGTAAGTTTTTTACAAACATGAAAATTGATGTATAATCGGCCTCCAAGACCTTACAAGCATTGTAGCACAAACAGTCTCCTAATGTGCCAGCTGATGAACATGGCGAATCTATCGTAAAATATTACTAATCTTACTAATTTTTTAGCAATGGTAATACTACTTACTAATCTTTTTAGCAATAGATTTTTCACCAGAAATGGCACAGTTTCATAAACGCGTTATCCTTCTATAACAGCTCATAGATTAAGGCAAAGCTATAAACGTGATCGTCATTGTGAAACACCTTTGAAACAGAACGAGATGCTGAACCTTAAGCAGAACAACGAGCGTCTGCAGCGGTTAGTGACGTCACGGTCGCTCGCCGGCAGCCAGAGTTCGTTGCCCGCCGCGGACGACCCGAGGCGATTCAGCCTCGCCGATCAGCCGGCCTTACACCAGGTACGTCATAAACTATCCCTTTATTACTTATATTACTATTATTTAAGTCCCAGCGACGTGTGAGGAAATTCCGTGCGAATTTCCAAACCATGGACCCGTCGGTTTACGTTCATCGTTATTTTAAAAGAGAATTAAAAAAAAAGGAACATTTTTTCTGCGCTGCCAGAATTCGAACTTACGTATACTGGGTAAAGCGCCAGAAGGCTCTATCCAACTGAGCAAGCGGCTGATATTCCCACGATAATTTGTCTGTAATTATTCTCATTTGAAAGTTCGTCTTGGGTGCAGAATAGCACTCGAAATAAAAATCAGACGGTGCTTAAGCTTGATTAAGTAGATTATATTGAAAGTAAAATAGTAACGAAATTTTATTTTACTTCAAAACAGACCTGTTTTACTTAATGCTATACTGTGTCAACAGTGGCAAGCAATGTCATCGAAATTCCTTATTCACTTGTCAATTTCCATCATTCTTATATAAGCTAATCAGGAGCTTTTCGCACTTCGCATCATTTGAACACTAAATGTCACGTTAGATTATTATTTTCTCTTTTTAATTTTTACGAACTGCCCGTTATTGTTTCATTCACTATATATTTCTTAGTATAAATTTAAAATTTAATCTTGTTTGCACAGGCGTCGATGGACATGCATTCGCAGCAACTCGATCTGGATTTCAACTGCACACTCACGTCGACACCTAACATCGACTTCTCGAAGAAAGGCTCGCCGAAGTCCAGCATGGAGCCGATATACGGGAACAAGGCCGTGTGCGAACTGAACGAGAACAGCGAAGCGATTTTGAGCGCCCTCAACGGTTCCAGTGACATATTCACGAACGGGCGAAACAATGGCGAGAGACTTAGTGGCGACTACGACATCAATACGGTCCTACCGCCGCCAAAGAGCAGGGAATTGGCTATCGGAGAGAGCTATTCTGATATTGGTAAGCATTATTTCGAGCTTCATAGTTAAATTACAATTTATATCATTCATTTTCATTGTATGTGGTACGATGGGCTACGTTGACTTTATTATCTGTATCTTCACTATTACTCTATAAAAAATTTGGAAAAATAGTTTTATTACAGTATGTTTGAACCGATTTATAGATAATTTAGTTTATGAAAGTAGCTTATCGTTTATTAATAATATATAAAAATTTAGCTTTAAATAGCTGATGATTTTTTTTCCAATATAGCTATTGAAAAGATGAGTGTTTAATGTACCTTATATTCCGAAATTTCAACGGAAACAAAATAAAAAAGCCACAGGGAAGCGGCAGCTAGTTTTCTTATAATAATAGTAAGTTTTCATTTTAACTTCAATTTCAACAAGATAAATATCAAGATTAAATGTGTTATTTTTGTATAATATTTTCTAAATCATAATCGCAAAATTTAACACAACTTAATTCGCTATTCCCGGCCAGGTCGGGGAGAGATATTTAAATTTTAAATGCACGGAATAAATACGTTGTCGTAGCGTGTCATGCTAAGCCCGACGGAACAGACTAACCTGTAACCTTCGTGCGATCATTCGCTGCCTTGAACAAAATTCTAGCTGGCACTTCAAGCTCACCAGTCTACCGCCTTCGCAGGTGTAGCCGACAGCCAAGGCGACACGACGGACGGCAAGAAGATAGCGATCGCGGTGTACTTGGGCCAGCCGGAGACGTTCCAGAGGTACTTCGAGGAGGTGCAGGACACGCTGACCGAGTCCGAGTGCCGGTTCTACGCGAAGCAGTCCGCGGCCGCGTTCAACCACTTCGAGAAGCAGCCGAGCTACGACTCGCCGAGGGCCTCGCAGAGCCACAGCCCCGAGACGGAGGCGCCGGACTACGCGCCCGCCAACAAGTCGAACACGAACAGCCTGAAGAGCAACAAGTCGACGCACAGCGGCTCGTACAAGAACGTGTACAACAGCGACTCGACGGTGAACAGCAACGAGTTCACGATCGCCTACACGTACATATCCGGGAAGACGACGTGGCAGAACCTGGACTACATAGTGAGGAAGACGTTCAAGGACTACCTGTCCCGGATAGATCCGGGCACGAATTTGGGCCTGAACACGGACTCGATAACGTCGTACCACCTGGGGGAGGCTACCAGGGGACCGGAGATCGGTTTCCCGGAACTGCTGCCTTGTGGCTATATCATTGGCACAGTTAATACCCTGTACATTTGCCTGCAGGGTGTTGGCAGTTTGGCTTTCGATAGTCTCATACCAAAAAATATTGTTTATAGGTAAACATTCGAATATCTATTTTGTTTTATTTCTATTATTATTCTACTTATATGGGACAATTGTTTAAATAATTTTCATATCGTTTTAGGTACGTTTCACTGTTATCTGAACACCGAAGAGTTATACTTTGCGGACCCAGTGGCACGGGAAAATCTTATTTAGCAGCAAAATTGGCGGAATTCTATGTACAACGTACGCAGAGGAGAGGAAATCCCGCTGAAGCAGTGGCAACGTTCAAGTAAGTGATATTTTTACGTGTTGTATATGCGACAATAGAAAAATACCAAATGAAAAATAAATGGAGGCGATTCTCTATCATACAAGTCAAATCGTTTCTTTCCAAAAAAATTGCGCTTTACTTTTCAAACGTACTAAACATTTTTGAACCGACTTCAAAAAAGGAGGAGATTATCAATTAGGTTGTATATCGTTTGTTACATTGTGTTGTAAAAAGATATTTTTCCATGGTGTTCGGTTAAGCTCCCATGTGGTGCCATAAAAATTATTTTTGTATTAGACTGGACTCTAGATACCAGATACCAGGGAACTTCTTAAAATTAAATAGAAAATGTAAAGTGATCCAATGCAAAAAAGGAATTTTCAAAATAGAGAGGTAAAAAACCGTTTAAAAACTTTTAAGTTAAACGGTTTTATTTTATGTTTTTTTTGTGTACTGAAAACTACAATATTGTATTGTCATCTAAATTAAATGTGTGTACCAAATTTCAGATCAATCTGACAACGGGAAGGTGCTTAAATTTCAATTTCTAATTTTGACCCAAATAAACAAACAAATTCCGTACGTGTCGAGCTAAATAAAACCGTTTAAAAACGTAAAAACAACATAATTGAGAACCTCTTCAATATTCGATGTCGGTTGAAAATGTAAATTCAGCGATACATTTGAAATCGGCTTTGTTGCTAATCGACGAAAGTGTATACTGCAGACGAAGATCTTCACGAACGCCGTGTTTGTTCCGCAGCGTGGACCGTAAGTCGTGCAACGAGCTGCGCGCGTACCTGGCCAACATCGCGGAGCAGTGCGGCGCGGCGGCGGCGGGCGAGGAGGCGGTGCTGCCCTCCGTGGTCGTGCTGGACAACTTGCAGCACGCCTCCGCCCTGGGGGACGCCTTCACCGGCCTCCTGCCGCCCGACAACAGGAACATGCCCGTCATCATAGGTGACATTACTTTTCATCTTTTCAGTTCATCGACATCATTTTATTCATTTGGCTTACCAGCAATTGTTTTATACATTTATGCATTAAGTCGTAGCAGTATTGTCCCATAGATAAATGTACAATCAATTAATTTATGTATGTAATGTTTGTGTGTATGTACGTTATCGAATTTTCCATTTCATTTAAAGAAACCCAGATATCCGAATGGTTTGATCTTGTTGCATGGTGTGTAGTTCGCCAATTCTTCAAACGCCAATTCTTCAAACGTTCGTTAATTCTTCAACTTTGTATTTATGTGTGCTATAGTATGTTTCATTTAAATTTTCAAGGTCAAATGATTTGACCATGACTATCATGATAAGTAGATTTCCATTTCAACACGCTTTTAATTTCTTAACATTGTAATTATGTACCTACTTATATTTGCGAATGTTAATGAATACATTTTAAATGAATTTATATTTTCTCTTTAGGCACGATGTCCCAAGCTACATGCAACACCACAAACCTCCAACTGCACCACAACTTCAGGTGGCTCCTCACCGCAAACCACATGGAACCGGTCAAAGGTTTCTTGGCGAGGTAAATTAATATACAATATAACAAGGAATAGAATTAAAAATTCAAAAAATCCGACTGATTTCATTTTTTTCTAAAACTTTTAAGCATTAATTTTATTTTAACATATTTTGCTAATCACATTCAGACAACATAATATAATGCTAAAATAAATAAATTTTAGCATAATCTTTACTACTTTCAAGTCGCCAATGTTACAAATTGTGGAATAAAACTAATTTACGCATATAGTTTTGCCTTTAGTTGTACTATAGTTTTGTATTTACTTCAATTTTGTTTTTAAAATTAAATTCAAAATTTAAAATTCTCGTTTCACGGTGTTTGTAATTGAACTCTTCCGAAACGGCTCGACGGATTTTCGTGAAATTTTGTGTGCATATCGGCCAAGGTGGAGAATCGGACAAAATCTATTTTTCATCCCCCATAAACGTTAAGGGTGGTCCAACCCAAACATTTTTTTCTACCCTATAAATAACTTATATGGCAAAACAACGTTTGCGGGGTCAGCTAGTTATATATATTATGTTATATATTATCAATACAGATACCTCCGACGGAAGCTGTTCTCGCTGGAACTTCGGCTGGGTCGCCGCGAGCCCGCTCTAGCCGCGGTACTGGAGTGGTTGCCTGGTGTCTGGTCGACCCTGAATGCGTTCCTGGAAGCGCACTCCTCCAGTGACGTCACCGTGGGCCCGCGACTATTCCTCGCCTGCCCCATGGACTTGGAAGCCAGCCAGGTAGTCGATTTTTCTTTGTTGACTTTAGTCTAACGTCAATAATATATACATCATAACAAATAATGTCTATTAAAGTAAAAATAAATGTAATAATTTAATAATATAAAAGAAAATTAACGAGTCTTTTTAAAACATTTAATTTATTTTATTATACGAAAAATATTTCGTCGATAGCGGTAAACATAAGCTTTAAATTATTTTGAATCATTCCCCATCATCGAAAGTAAGACTTCTTATTTACCAGGGTACCTACTGTAATAGAAAAGGTTTGCAGACCATAAAAAAATAACTACCTAAGAAAAAAAAGTAAAATCACACCGACATAAGACTTTTTCGAGGGGACCACAAGCTTCTAATAAAATGAGCAATGGCTTTTGACGAAGAATTACGATAGTTATCGACAAAAAACCCTTTGAGATACAATATAATAGTGATTGGAAAGCGTTCATACACGTTCACAGGGCGGAAAGGAACATTATAGAGGGACCAAATGGAGACGGGCTATATTTAACCATTGAAATCTCCCGTCAGGCGTGGTTCGCGGACGTGTGGAACTACAGCATAGTTCCGTACGCGTCGGAGGCGGTGCGCGAGGGCGTCGCCCTGTACGGGCGGCGGCGGCACGCGGCGGTCGATCCGCTGCAGCACGTCAAGTCGTCGTACCCGTGGCGGGAACCAAATCATTCGCACGTAAGTAACATCACTTATCCGTAGCATTAAGAACTTATATACACCTATGATATTATATGCAAATACGAGGTAGATATGGCACTGCCGCACCGAAATTGAGGCACTCTAATTAAACCAGTTGGTGTAATTAGATTGCAATTGTATAGAATGCTATCTCTTGCCGCATCATACGTTCTATATCATCAGTCACCTTTTTAAACGCCGCACAGTATTTGATTGCGTCATCAGTATTATTAAATATCATTGACATACACGATGCCGCTTCGCGCCCGGAAGAGCAAGTATTACGAAAAAGCTCTATTTTTCTCGAAATCATACTGACACACACCAGCTCTAAGGTTACCCGTAATCTAAATTATCTTCCCCCAATTAATTACTTCGTTCCAAATTACAAATGGTAATTTGGAAACATACGTTACTAGGGAGACCTAGTGTTAAAAATGTTCACATTTTATCTCGTTTCTGTACTTATTCGTATATGGTCTAACCTAATCGTAACCTCTACACTGAAGTTATAAGGGCTTTCCTACATATAGCTTCGATATATATTTTTTTTCGTGTTTTCATATGTATAGGTTTCCCCACGTTGTTTTGCTTAACAACAGAGCATAAGACAAATTAAATAAAATTTCAAATATTTTAAAAACCTGAAAATTTTTATCAATTACAGTCAACGGCCATTGGGCTCACGTGCCCAATGCGAAGGCGACACTCATCCCTTTAGAAAGCGCACGCAACAAATAAATGCGCGGACCTACCCATTATGGAGGACTGTTTTTTCAAACACGTGGGTTCTGGCTAGCCCACAGATTCTGCGTTCGGTGAAGCTGTAATAGTCTTAAGGATTGTAAAAGCTTACATCAGTTACAAAAAAAAAGCTAAGGTCAATTTTTCTACCAAAAAAAGGCATATCAACAAGGTGAGGAGCTTGAGGAGCCGGTGGTAACAGGTCGCCTTTTGCAAAGCCAGAGGATATGCGAAATATTTCTCGTCTTTAAGGCAAAAGTAGACGTCTTTTTGTAGGTTACTGGGTCGTGAATTGAATAAGTTCTAAGTGGCGCGGATACTGATATTTTATGTGAAAAGTTGGCAAGCGAGCTGGCGGTTCACCTGATGTTAAGTGATAACCGCCGCCCATGACATTTGCAACACCCGCAAGGTTGCAGATGCGCTGTCACCTTTTGATTAAGTGGGCCCCGGCTACCTCACTCACTAGAGCAAACGCAGAAGTACAAGGTTTCTATTTCACGCCGGTCTTCTGTGAGGTGGTGGCACTTGCCTGGACGGACCTACCACAGTTGAATACATAATATTGTAACTAAATGAACAACTGAAATTTCATTCCTTCCTTTTTCACAGACTTTAAGATCCATAACAGTCGAGGAGATGAGCATTGAAGAAGCAAACCAGGAGGCGAACAGAAACAACAATCAAGATCCACTGGTAAGTATCTTTTTTATATCAAACGACAACTAAGCAAAGGTTCTTCTGGTGGTATAATTAGGGACTGCGATAGACATGAGGTTAGACAATTAATGTTCTAGGCATATTACATGGCAAAATGTTAGAGTATAAATAATTTTACATGTCTTCGGTTTTCTTGGCTGTGATTTTGTAAATTACTCTGTTATTTCAACGAAAAATTAGAGAATATGGTAAGATCCTGTAACTCGAAATTATAGAAACACCATACTATATGTTTTGTACGGTGACCTAGGTTTCACTCTTGGTCTCGTAAATAAAGCAACGAATGTTAATGAGTCGCGCGTTTTAGATAGAATTCTCTAATTTGATTTAGATAAAATTTTTGAATTTACAGAACGCGTTTTTGCTATTTCAAGTCATACAGTCTATTAAAATATATGTAATCTAAAGTCGAAAACCTCCTTTTTTTGAAGTCGGTTCGAATTTATGATTAATAAAAAGAGAACAAAATCATGAAAAATGCATTCGATTGCGCTGTACTCGATTTTTAGGTATTTAGGGGGAACGAACGACAAAAGAAAATTCAATTAGGTATAACTTATATCTATTCATATTAATCCAATTGTTCTTTTATCAATAGGTTTTCGAAAGCTAATTAATTTGTCAAAATGCATCGGAAGTATGACCCAAATTTTTAATACGCATAATTGAACTTAACTAATTATCTACGTACTATGTACTTGTTTCAGTTGAACATGTTAATGCGACTGCAAGAAGCAGCCAACTACAGCGGTAACCAAAGCCAAGATTCGGACAACGCAAGTATGGACTCGAATCTCACACACGACAGCTCCATGGGCAACGAGCTTTAATAACGACACTGTGAATAACTATCATTCTATTTTATTTTCTAATTTTACCTACAACTTTTCTACTATTCCTATGATCAAATATAAATTTTAGTTAAGTTGTCACCTACAAAATTATACAAGACTTCCTTGATCTGTTTACTAAAGTATTTTGATTGAAAAGGAGCTAGTGTGCATTTTTTGTCACTGCTAAAGAAAAAAAGAACTATGTAAAGCCAAATATTTGCCATATGTACGTTATTTATATTTATTTTCTATAAAATAAGTTGGTATTTTTTTATCTACGCTGTTTCTTTTGACATCACACCTATTTACGAAAGGATTTTTCTCTGCATATTTGTGGATTTCGGCAAATATTGTGAGCATGAGTTAGACCTTTCTTATATGTTAACAATTGTGATTTTTTTAAAGTCGACTCAAAATACAATTATTGCGACGGTTAATATAGAAATCACTACTGCAGTGCCTCAAGCGATATTTTCCAGTTTTTATGAATATTCCTGAACAGTATTGGGCTGTTCATATTTGTATGGATAATTGTCGCTTTTACCTAATATTGTTATATTTTTCAGAGATAGGATAACGGACCGCGTTTGTATTACTATGACATTTTGTGTAAAATAATATTATGAAAGTGTAATTTTTATACCATTTTCATATTAAAACTCATGTACCTAATAAAAACATTAAGATGTAAATAGAAATGTTTAATATAATTTTTTCTATGTGATTAAACTAACCGCTACTATGCCATAAACAATATAGCGTTACATTTGTATAGAAATATGTAACATTACAGTGTTCGGTATGGATTGACTTGTGTGCATAACTGAAACGTGATATCTACAATCTATGCTTTACAAATATTGTGAAAATAAACATTGATTACATTTAATCTGTTATATTATTCAATATCCTTTTACAAGTTTTAAGTAAAAAATCAGCACCCAACCTGCTTTTTAGGGTTCTACACCCAAAGGGTATTACTAAGATTTCGCTGTCCGTCTGTCACCAGCACAGAGTACATTATATTTTATATACCAATGGTCACCAGGCTGTATCATGAACCATGATATTTATTAGACGGTTGAACTTTTCCCAGTGTTTTTTTTTACACTATTATTAATTATATCTACCAAACTACATTATCACCATATTAGGTCCATCCATAGTTATGAAAGCTCCAAAGTATTAAACAGAAGGAATGTGTAAGGATTTAAATTATTAAAACGAAATTCAATTCAATCTGCAATGTATATTTTTTACTATAAAAAAAATTATTCTTAAACACACAACTGGGCAGTAAGTGGCTTAGTCGTATCTTATTTTTGATGATATAAATGGAAACGCGGAAAATAGCGAAATTATGGACCTATTATTATTTTCACACCTGCTTTGTAAAATTATTAAACAGGCCCACTGCAATGTTATACCTGTACATTGGGAGATGATACTTTTTTTAGAACTGAGCTTAATGTTTTAATTTACGTTTAAAAATCCTGTAAGTCTTGAAGTGTTAATATGATCTGCATAGCTCTTTTCCATTTTGCGTAAAAATATTAGGTGAAATTCTTTTTCATTATTTCTTCACTATCAGTTATATACAAAATATTGTATAATTATTAATTTTTATAGACAATGTGATACAACATAGTTTAAAAATGTATGTGCCGAATTTTCATAAACTCATCATTGAAAGTTCTAAGAAAATTGATTATTTTCGAATGAAAGCAAGGTTTTTTTGACTTTCGAAAGTTGAGTTATCAACGTTTTCAGCTCCTAGAAAGCCAATCTGACTCTTTTATATTATATATCTAAAATCACACAATTTTTATATTAGTGTGATGCAGGCATCTTCATTTAATAATTAAGAGCCCAGAATTTAATATTCTTATTTGAATAAATTTTAAATGCTAGTTCTGTAGTCAAGACGAAACTTAAAATTGTAAATGTTTGTAGATGTATATAATATAGCTTATTTTTATTCTTAAACAAAAGTTTTAAGCCAGGCAATAAAAAAAGATAAAAACATTTTTTCTCCCTCATATTGCCTGTATGTAAACAAAAATAATTTTTACGATGAGCCCAATAAGAGGATCCATGTGAAACATTGAATTTATATCAAAAAGAATTTTAGTTTTATTGTATGTAACTGTACATACAGTACAATACATTGTCTATTTTCAGTTATTATTACTAAATATTTTTTGCATATGCCTTCTATCTAATTGGCTTAATTTGAAATAAGTACAAGTAACATCACTAAATGGTTGCTTTATCTCTATGATCTTTATTTAACTATAATTACTTACAATGAAACATTTCTTTTTGATATTAAATACAGCATACTGTAAATAAAAGTGTTTACACTAAACCTTAATTCATAATTTATTGCTTTATCAGTATTAAACAAATCTTATATCTGAATTACAAATGACATTGAAGAAATTTGGACGGCAAAAGTTTTATTTTACAAAGGACTAGAACCATTATTGACTGAAATTTAAAAAAGGAACATCTGATTCTGTCTTTCCCCTGCTAAATAAGGCACAACCATATATAGTTAATTTTTGAACATACCTCATTATTGCTCATAATAAATATCAAGTTTTAAATACATAATCAGAAGTAAGTGTGTATTAAATGATTCTAGCAATAATAAAATTATTCAGCTCATAAATCTAAGTTGTATAGAGTTCACAAAATTTTACAAGCAATAAAATATTACTTTGAGCACATTGTGAAAAAATATGAATATCTAATAGTTAACTTTCAATGATCTTTATCATTTCAACAATTAGTAGAGGAACTGAACCATATAAGGCTTTTCATGTCTAAATTTAAAAAGCAGTATTCTATTATTTAACAATGCGTTTGCAAATTGCAAGTAAAAAGAAATAATAAATATGATTTCTACAATTATAAACCCTACATCTTCTAATATATAAAATTCTCATGTCACGGGGTTCGAACTTGAACTCCTCCGAAACGGCTTGACCGATTTTTACCAAATTTTATATGCGTATTCAGTAGGTCTGAGAATCGGCTACTATCCGTTTTTCGTCCCCCTAAATGTTAAGGGGGTAGTCCACCCCTAAATTTTTTTTTTATTTTTTATATAAAACTTTTTGTTTCTATTTTTTTATGACACAGCATACAAAAATACATACAACCCTAAATTTTCACCCCTCTACGCAGACGTAGTCGCCGGCAGCAGCTAGTAATAGCTATATATATATATATATATATATATCAGTTATCAGGTTTATCATGTCAGTAATTTTACATTTATAAGTTTGTGTTGTACATGCAATTAAAATAGGAGAATAATTTGTTATAAATAGGGCCATCAAGTGTATTGTTGTTAAAAACACAATTTCAATCACTGTGAATGTCAAGACTAAGATTAGATAGGGATGGAATTGGAGAGTCAGAAAAATCACCAGAGTCATCATCAAATAATTTGCTATTTTCAAGGCTTTTCTTTGAATAATTCGATATGGATTTAGATTTACTAGTTTGTGATTTATTTCTCTCAAAATACTTTTGTTGTAAGGGATTACTTATGTCACTCATAATGTCTGCAACATCTGATGTAGAAATAGAACTTATTGATTCTTGATCTAAGTTTTCTTGAGTGTAAACTTTATGATGAATGTTTTCAACAACCTTATCAAGGCCAGACTCAGGAGACTTTATGTCTCCACACATGAAGTCTTTTTTAGCTGAAGGAGGTGAAGTAAAATCTAAACTATATTCTGTTAAAGAATTTTGTGACATTTCTGAATTTTTCTTATCATTTTTATTTACCTCAGTGATGTAATTATTGCTAATGACCATTGTGGAATTATAATTTGAAGATGTCTTGGTTTCAGTTTTCGAATGCTCCTTGTTAATATTTGCAATATTATTCTCTTCTATGTGAGGGCTACTCGAAGTAATAATTTTGTCCGGAGGACTTATGGACTTAATATCCACGTATGAGGTTGAGTCACTATTACTGTAATTTTTATTTTTGTCAGGAGCTAAATGTTCATTATTGCAGGTTTTCTGTTTATTTTCACTAATGATATAGTCTTGCAAATAAGAACTTTTATTGGGTATTTGACTTATCGATTGAAGGATATGCTCACTTGGTATATACTCAGAACTTGTTTTACCTCTTGTTGAATCACTTGATGTGTCTGTATCTGAATTATCAAGTTGTAACCTAAGATGTAACTTATTTTTTTCATCTGAGGAATTATCCGAATTTGAGTGTGAGTTTGAGTGACTTATGCTGCTAGTTGAGTCTTCGTGCACAATATATGTACTGTTTTCTTCTTCCTTGTAATTACTTTTCGCATTTTTTTCACCACAACCAAATTTCATCTGCTGCTGTAAAACATTTTTAACAAGCGTAACTAATACAGGCTCTTTATCTTTGTTTTGTTTTGAGAGCTTTAATTTTTCAAACAGTGAATTATGCCCATCGTGAGGATATTCTTTACCTTGTCGTGATTCTGACATATAAACAAACAACGTGTTTTTGAGATTGCAAAATTCTAAAAAGTCGTGAACTAGTGAAAGACAAAAGATACCTTCAGGTAACTTAAGTATGTTGTCTAAATTAACATTTTGTTTAATATTTTCGCAATCATCTTCAAAAACTAAAAAAATATTAGCCCTCAGTAAAGCTCGTATTTTTGCAAGTGATCCGTTTTTTTCCAATGCTTCAACCACTAAGTCTCGCAGTTCTGTATCTTCCGCTTGTGCCATAATGTATTAAACTTTATAAGAAGACCGCTTCCTCAATACCTGTACTATTAAAACCTTTGCCAAAGCGTCATTTACAAATATTACTTGGTATTTGACAATTGAAACCAACTCAAACTCAATACAAACAAGAGACTAGAGTTGCTTTATTTAGGTATTGAAAATTCTGTAGCTTCGGGGTCTATTGTTTATGATCCGATGTGAGCAAAATTATAACAAAAATAACTTTAGATTACAATCATTTT